CGCCCAACGCCCCACGCACCACGCCCGACGCCCCACGCTCGACGCCCCATGCCCGACGCCCCACGCCCCACTTTTTGTATTTTTTATTATTGAAGAGTGTTTATATAAAATGTCAATTTATTGCCAATACTTAAAGAGTATATTATGAATATTTCAATAAATAGTGAGTGATAGTTTCTGAGAAAAGGTACATTAATTACAAAATAAGTACATTTTCGGAAACCTCCATTTGAAAACAGTCTGTTAATGCGTCCGAAATTACAAAAAAATTGCACATAGACTAGACATACTTACATGCTGTGTCAAAAAAGGGGTCGTGGCTCATGCGCACCACATTTAAATTTATATTAAATGGACTTCCAAGCGAAGAAGAAGAAAATGTTCATATATTTGGCAAGAGCAATGTTTGAACTATTTATTTACCAAAAAGTCGATAATAACGTATTTCATGGTACCCTCTCTCCTTACGAGATTTCTTGCACAGCGTAACGGGAAGCACAGAAGTTTACCGCTATAAATGAGTTACTCTCTAAGAAGGGATCACTCTGACACGTCGGGAAACAAATAAACGTCATGCAGGGCGATGACATTGAAAGAGAGAGTGGAGAAGCCACGTACAAATGAGCTAACTATAAAGGAACGAACTGGCGAAATGATTGCTTGGACATTACTTGCAGTTATGATACCAGCAGTGGCCAAGCATTAGCAGCCAAAGCGGTCCCTTCTTGTAGTGATCTCTCTATGCATCAGGATCACTAGTGGGTGAAGTTGAGAAAGAGGCATATCGTTTAAGTCGAAATGCAAGAAGTTCTAAACTGTGGCTTAAGCATGTTGCAAAGGCATGGGTGAGCCGCTGCGCAGCCTACCGCCTTCCGCCAATGAGCATCGTGCATCAGTTTGCGTCACAATATTAGCCGGAGTTTTAAATGTCAGAAACCAAAATTATCACCTTCTTACAAGTCATTAAAACATATAAGAAGCATTTTAAAAAAATATTGCATCTTTTATTTCAACTAAACTTGCATCGTGTTATTTTTTTGTTGGTCAATGTCGAAAATTATCACTTTAAGTTACTTTCAAAATGTTTCTCAACACTTTTTGCTTGCCATTCAGCATAGCGACCTGCATTTGGCCTGGCTTTTCAAGATGTTCCCGTGTTGTGGTCACGTGGTAAGTGGTGCTGCGCGGAACAAGCAAAACCGGTGCGCCGGAGCAGCTCACGCATGTCTTTCCATCGTGATTTAGGGTAAAACAGTAGACAGCAATATCGAGATCAATAGCGGGAGAAGTCGACAAAGAGTTTTTGCACAAAGTTCAGGTCGAAATGGACAAGTTACAAAAGTGTGCGAATGGGTGTGCTGCTAATGCAAAATTCCCAGAATGCCACATTATCTTGAATGGCCTTTTTTCGTCTAGGGCTGCCCACCATCATTAATCTGTGTTATTATTTTATTAAAAATAGACCACTAACAAGATGTTGCATCATGGGAATATAGTGTAGCGTCGTGCACAAACATAGTGACCATGTGCTCGCCGCGTGGCAGACCACTTGGGTCAAGGGTGGGGCGTCAGGATGTGACGTAGCGTAAAAACCCAGAGAAAGGGGTGGAAGACGCGGCCAGCCGAGCTGGGCAGCGGCGACGCTTCAACGGGCCCTTTTCTCTTCGAGGAGCCGAGCTGTGCGGATCGGAGGCAGCGCGACGGTGGGGTGCGGACCGCGTGCGCGTAGGCTAGGGCCAGCAATGTACTTTATCGTGTAGTAGTTAAGACTCAAGTGACGAGTCGTGTAGAAATACTGCGGTGCTTCACACGATCGGATTTGTTCGATATTTAAGTAGAGGGTGTAGTAGCCGTAGAATGAAAATTACTTCTAGTAGTGGGGTCGATTTATTTCGTTTATGTAATTATTGTAAATAAGGTTTATTTCGGTGGTGGATTCATAAATAAACCGGCAATAAGTTCAACCCACTCTCGTCTGTGTATTATTGCGCCCTGCGTGACGCCACAATAGTTAGCTTCACATTCTGCCACTATAGTTGGTAACAAATTCCAATTAAGATCACGTGACTGATTTAGTATGCGACTCAAGTCTTGTGATTACACTAGCTAATTCTGTTGGAGTTATGCTTTTCGCTATCACTGTAACGTTAATTTGGAGTTTGCGCATGTACCGAGACTCAAAAGTGAATTATTTCGCTAAGGTGCTTCACGTTGTGCAAAAAGTCTCTTACAAAGTTTCCTGAAGTGTTATTGGATTACAAATTGCAAAAGTATTTACAATTGGTATTTTTATTTGCAATTTACGTAACCGATGCCAATCGTACGAGAAAGTATGTGCTGTTAAGCACCGCTAGTTTTCAAAGCAATTGTTGGCGGTTCTACTGCATATTTTGTAAAATTATATTTATTTAATAGTCATATATCATGAAGTAGTTTAGTTTAGGGAAAGTACTTTTCTCGAAACTACTTAGAACGTAATTTATAAATATACTAGAGTATTTTATTTATGTTCTTGAGTTGATTGAGATATGGTCATCCTCCTCAATTTAACAAACGACTAGGTTTTCTAGACAAAAGTATGTAGAAAATGATCAATTTACTACACTTCTGCTTCATAGAATATGTCGATATATTTAAAAGTTTTTCGTCATGAAAACAGGGTTGTATAATTCAAACAACTTTATCTCAATGAAATGTACACAAAGGTCTTAATCGAGTATATTCTGTAAAAGATATCGGGTAACAAAATATTATTTAGAATATAAACTACTAAATTTTAAAATAACTCAAACATTACAATGACATTGTTCATTTTGTGGCTCCAATAAAACTCTTCTCTTTTATTACGGAATGTGTCAACGTTCTGCAAAGTTCACTTTCATAACACAATTATAACATTTAAAGACCCGAGTTTGACCCTACGCTAGAAACAAAAGGAGAATATATTAGAGATCATTACCGAGGTCCAGGTAGGTAGTTTTCAACACGTATTTATGAATAAATACCGCATTGAAAAAGAAAAAATGTCGCTTGGATTTGTAATTGGTGAAAGCGCAAAGCACAGAATTGAGACCCTGTGGTTTTGAAATGTGAAAGTATGTCTTGTTGTCTTCTTATTTCTGGCCTTGTGAAGATGTTAAAAACCATTGTTGTATTAATTATAATAGAAACAAGATTTGTTGAAAATAAGTGATAGAATGTGATTTTTTAATCATCTTAAATACACATATATGACATGTACATCGAAAGATGTTAAACAATTAAAATCAATACACAAGTTTAAGTTCAAAGTAAAATTCATTTTACTGCTTTGTCCAAAAAAAAATTGTGTCTAAAAGTAAATAAATAATTTTATTCTTCTCTAGCTCTTTAGTCACTTAATTCATTTTATGTTAAAAACGAAATAATACATCCGAGTTAGTAAACATGTTCTAATAAGATCACTAGGGAACAGTTCTCTTCAATTTTTTAGATATACTTTTTTCGCACTCAGAAACAATTATACAAACACATTGAAAACTTATTTACATAGTTCATATAAAACGTGCTCTAAAATAAAGTCTCCCTGACCCCCAGGAAAGTTTGTGCATCACCAATAGAAGGCCAGTGGCTCATGCAGTTGACTTTCTTAGTGATTCACGCCGGCAGAATGTAATATCGGTTACATTGGAACCTACGCCTTGTCAGAGCGTACACCGACCTCTTGACACAAGCAGTTAGAACGCGCGCTAAATATCTGCGAGCTTGGGAACTTGCAGTGAACCTAAGACACAAGTCCGTTTTAACAAATCCATTTCCTAGACTCAGGCATGGACTATTAACTCCGAATAGTTACGATTTTTGATTAATAATAAAGAACATAATAAATTAATTTCATAATTAAAAATCAGCAAAATATTTTTTAAATCTGCGAAATATTGTTGAGTTCTTTAATCCCAGTATGTACCGTAGGTTTTGTTATCATTAAATGTTGAAGTTTGAAGTTGGCAAGGTGTCATTTCTGAAGCAAATCTTATAATAACTTTATGTAATATACTAATAATTCTCGTCGTTTAATTTTGTTATCTGCCAAGGAGTTACTATTTGAAATTCATAAATTCTATGCATATTCAAACTATTTAGTTATATTAAAATTTCCTTTTCAATTCAATTTTCAATTTCAAATAATGAACTCACATAAAACTATTAACAATAATAAATTGAATCAAATGAAAAATTAAATATCGAATACAGCACATTAAAATACAACAATTAGGCAGATACCCTTGTATTAAAAATAAACAGGGCAGTAATATCCATATTTTGAACAAATCTCACGAAATGATACATCAGTCGCCTGCCGGCCAGCTTATCTGGATGTTCGATTCAGAATGAGAAGAGTTTGCTAGTGAGAAACGTCTTCAGAATGCACTTGCTTTACTGTCAAAAGCTCGCAGTTATTCGGCTTGCCGTTCCACACGCGTCGCGCCGTCGCGTCTCACCTGCTAGGCAGAGCAGCCCCACGCCCAACACGACGCTCCCCCGCGAACTGGGCCCCCTCATGGCGCGGCGAGGCGAAGCGAGGCGAGCGGCGCTGGTCCTTCCGCGGAGCACTGCCGCGCACCCACTGCCGCGGGTGACGCGACGCCTCGGCCGGGTCCGCCCCGCAACCCGCCCC